GAGTCAGTACATACAGTATCATGTGGGTATGCTGATTTTAACCTCACTAGGTTGCAGGACTCACCATTTTAGTATCATAAACTAATATATCAGGTTGACATGTTTAAGGCCTGTATCCACTGTCATTACCACGAATTACAACTTATAATAAGTCTAATAGAATCAAAGAGCTGTTTCAAAGAGGTTTGTCTTGAGCTGTTTCGTACGGCCATTAAAGGGCAATGCCCTCATATGCTTACGAATCAGTATCTACTCTTATTTAATTTAAGAATGTAAAGACAATATTTCAGGGACGAAAGTGCGTAAAATCCAAACTGCAATGTTTACAACACAAGTGAAAAGCAAGAATTTGTAAATGTTTTGGTTTATAATTATATTTATGGAAAAAACCTTTTTTTTGGCAAATAGCAAAACTAGTAAACAGATCGAAAGACCATGAAAATTTAAGCAAACTACATGAAAAACGCATTTTTGAGAAAATTAACTATTTATCTAGCTATAAAATACCTAACACCAGTACCTATGGACGGTATTTGATGCTGTAGGTAACTAGGTATTAATCAGAGCTTTTAAGTGTTCAAGATCATTGCCATGTAGCAGGATCTTGGCAGTAACCTACATATGGTCCTAAAGGTCCTGGTAGGATAAGTTTTCCAAGTAAAGGTTTAACGTTCCTAAGGGTTCTTAACCAACTTGACTGTCTTTACCACTTTCCTATAGGTCAGTCCAATATCTTTGTATATAAGTTTTGTTTGTAGTAAGTAGTTATATGAAAAAGGCACAATAACTTGTGCAAGCGCCTACACAGAGACCTTATCAGTGAGATCCTGACCCTAAAGTCCATCTAGATCTCTAAAGTCCACTAGCAAGTTTCGACTTTGGTAACCGAGCTGTCGGCGCGATCACTTCCCGACGCCGAAGCGTTTCTCCAATTTCCAGAAACTTGTGCTAGAAACCTACGCGTTAACAGGGACCGGAAGATACTCATCTTCTACTAGCTCTCCAGGCTAGTGCCGGAGATGTCTGTCGCTATAGGACAACGAGTTGTTATAATTGACTGAAACATGCTTTCAGCGGACCAAACTCCGACTCCAACACGATTCATCCGGACCTGTGAAGAAGTGGGCCTCTTCCAGGACTTGCAGAATGTCACAAACGAAAATGTCACCAATGAGAATGTCACCGACAATCCGTTTGACGAGGGATTCAAGAGGGCAATGGAAACGAAGTGAGTAAATACATTAAGATTAATAATTATGTTAAAAACAGGTTAAGAAAAATAATATGCCGTACTGAGCAAATTGAGGCAATTGTTAAGTGATTAAGGTACAAACATGGTCAACTGTTCTGAGCGAGCTTATTCTTCAGTGGGTTCCCGGAGTAAGGAATTAATTTCCATTTTTATTAACGTAAAAGTAATGCCTGTTCTCTAATGTAGATCATTTTGTGACTTCGTTATCTCCATATCGTAGTTACAGTTTAAACTATACCTGTATCTTTTATAGATTATAAGTGCGCATTTGACCTCCATCTCACCTGATGGAAAAAGTTTATATGAACCCTGTCACACCGAAACGCGCAGCCTCTGTGTCTTGAGCATTATCGAACAAATGTTCGACCCAAACTAACAGTGTTAAGTGAAGTGGCGAACCGGGGCGTGGGTACTTCACGTGAAAACGAAAGAGACAATATTATTGTCAGTTACAGACTCTGTCTCTGTAATAGATTTCTCATAGATGGCGCTACGACTAAAAAGTCGTTGAAAGACCAAGTACAAAGACACGACGCAAGCACATAGAAAAATTCGTGAGACCCGTTGGCTCGTTCCGTGGCTTAGTTGGTATAGCGTCTGCCACGGTATGCGAGAAGACGTCGGTTCGAATCCGACCGGATCGAAGGAATTTTTTCTGAGTGTTCGATCTTTGTATTAATAATTATTATAACAAACTAGTGGAGTAATTTCACAAAAAATAATTGAATATCAATTCAATAAAAATTTAACAAACAAGTTATGTTTATAACTTTAGAAAGATAAAAATATAAGTTGAAGTTTATAGTCCAATTTTGCGGGCATGACCCACCCTGGCTCAAACAAAAATGATCGTATTTTTTAGAGGCCCGCGATCCAGGTCATCGGCTACAGGTGCTGGTCGAATCAATTTTATTCGATCGACACAGCTCTCGTTTAATGTTTTATGACGTGATGATGATTGATATATGATTCGATTTCCACTTCGCAAGGGAGCATTGAAAAGTATTTTGTTTTCAGACAGGGTATCCTGTGTCTGGAGAATGTCATAGCCACCTCTACATCGGACGATGTTCTACATACTCCGCAACTTGTATTCCCTCTAGACGATCCCACTTTGTCGCAGCTGCAGAGTCATAGAAGTGGTATTAGCAGGTATGACCAAAAGACAAATACTGATTCATTTACTAAAATTATACGTGGGTGCACGAAAGGAGACATACCACTCCCCTAGTAGCTCTCTAGTAGCGCAACCTGGGTAACAATCGGCGAGTCCTTTAACCACGATGACAAGCATCACAGTGTACGCCATCGACATAATAAGAAGAAGAATACTAAAATTATACCTGTTTTTCGTGCGAATGGGTAGTCAACGACATAAGTCTCACATTTTGTCTCCACCGAGCCCTTAGGAAGCTAATTGGTATCGGGTTTATGGCATGGTGGCAGTAGCTTGTTGTGCACTTTATTTCTGTAATTTCTCCTACTTAAATATGATATATCTCATATCAACTAATTTTTTTCTTCTTTTCTGGCATTTTTCAATTTGAAAGGGACCAAATAAGAAGCACAACACTGCAGTATTAATTAATATGTTTTAATGTATTTCTTATTTCCTTTTAGTCAATTAATTTACTAAAACTTCATATTGTTAAAATAAAATAAAATATTTTTAAAACCTATATAGTATTGGGATGTTCCTGTTGTTTGACCATGCCTGCATGACCATGAGTGCTGTAAAGGGCTCGAAACGTGGTTAAAAAAAAATTACGCGATCTTCTAGATCCGAAAAAAATGTTCCATTTCCAAAACAATGTAATAGAGAAAATTTAATTCAGTTTTAATTTAAGTATTTCGTCTTGTTCTCATTTTGCAGGTCTTCTAGCGACGAATCAACCTCCATAAAAGCATATGAAGCAGCATTAGCCAAAATTACACACGAAGTAACAGTAAATAGAGTTGATAACGAAATAACAGTTAAACAAATTGATATTTCTAAAAGTAACGACTTGACAAAAACTAGTATTCAGACTAATAATAGTGTAGAAGTTATAAAAGAAAAAGACATTCCTATTATTGTTTGTAATAATGTGAAAACTAATACTTTAACGAAAGATGTGGTATTTAATGACAATAACAAATTTTTGGCGCCTGATAAAGTTCCTTTGATAAGTCAAAAATCATTAGATTTTGTTGTCGACAGTTTGACAAATGAAGCCAAAAGTATAAACGAAAAAATCACAGTCAGTTTAAAAAGAAATATAAGCAACATTTCCAATGAAACTAAAATTGGGTTTGACAAAGTTGTAAAAGTTATACCTAAAACTGTTGTAGATAGACATACTAGGCCTAGAATCTTGCCTAAGAAAGCTGAATTTAATAACGTTATGGGCGAATATGAGGTATTCATTAAATTACCAAATGGTAAGCAAGTCAGAATGAAACCTGTAGAAGAACAGAAAGGACCGAATACTAAAGAGATTATACGCAATAATATATTAAAAAAACCGGCATTTAACAATAGAATACAAACTACAAAAACTGTAATTAAGAAAACACAAAAAAACACAAAACTAGTAACTAATGTGTTAAAAATACCTACTGGTACTTTGATACCTGTTACTCTAGTCAACCAGGAAGGAGCACCTCTCTCTAACGACGATTTAAGCAAAGTACCTATTACTAAAATAGACAATGTTAGTACTTTAACCAAAATTACCGTACCCACCTTAACAAATATCACAAATAATGTAATAACACCTGTTACCCCAGTAACAATTACTAAAACTCCTGTTACAACTAAGACACCTCCAATAATTGCAAAAGGAACTTTAGTGCCCATAATAAATACACCAAAAATATCTAATATTAGATCACTAGCGACCACAATACTTGACGCCATTCCAAAAGAACCTCCTATTGTAGCACCTGTTACAAAAAGTAACCTTACTGTTAATGAGGGTTCCAAAAGAATACCTGTTACTGATAGAAACAATCAAATACCTCAAGCGTTACCTACAGTCACAACACTAGTTACTAGAGCTGATACCACAAATAATAACATAATATGTAACGAAGTATTCTATACCCAAGAAGATCTCAATAAAGTTACATCGTGTAAAAGTGGACCTGTATCTACAAATGCCCTTGCCACCGTTGAACCGGACTCCGGCGAAGATACAGACGATGATTGTGTTATAGAAGATTTGACGAATAACCCTGAAATTGCTAAGAGAACAAAATTTGAACTTGAAAGCAGAAGTGCTGCGTCAAAACGATATAGGTAGGTACGATAATAGTTGTTTATGCAATCGTTGCAGAATGAGGTTTCTTAAAGTCGAGTACAAGATTTAAAGATCTAATTATGTAATGATTGCGTTATAGTAGTTTAGGTGACTGTTACATAATGAAAGGCATATACACGAGTGTGGATTTCATAAAAACATCTCACGGGTGTATTAATGCCTAATTATGTACATACACTGCTTTATCTACACACATATTATAAGCTCTCTGTGATGTGTTCAGGAACCGCATATTACGACTGGCCAAATGGTGGCAAATAAAAACTTTTCTCACGCTTGTCACACAACCGTAGTTTTTATTTTTAATTCATAGACAAACTAGAATTGGCCCCAACTATCATATCGCTCGATATCAAGTAACGTGAGAAATTGTCAAAATTGTTTGCTATTGACAATTCATTTCGAATAAAACTTCATCTCGACTGATATTAGAATTGAGATCCATCAAATTGTTTTGCTTTTCAGAGATGTTTGAAATTTGAATGCAATAATAACATCGAATTCGATGTTATTTATAAGCAATAATAACATTTTCACAGATAAGAAATTTGTTCTAAAAAAACAGTTTACCTTTGTGCTGGTCGTAATTAGCGGTTTTTGAACACATTATAGAGAGTTTATGATATGTGTGTAGATAAAATACTTTTACTACGAGTAAATAAAATAATGAAACAACCAATATTTATTGTATATAACAATTCATGACAACAAACTCAAACGAAAGCCATTAGGGTGACAACTGCGTTCTGATTGGCCTGAATTCGAAACAATTGACGGGTGTCGTCAATTGTTTCACTTCAAATCTACTATTTTTACTTGATTTTGCTATAATGGACTAAAAATTGAAAAATTACATATTTATTAATTAATTACCGATGAAATGTGATTCCGTTTGTTTTGTAATTAAATGTTTTGCTGTATTTACCACACCACCGAATGGAACAGCCCTTCATAGTTCGAGTGTTCTTTGTTACATTACAGTATACAATACAGAATATTTTTGGAATATACGGAAGCGTACACACAGGTCAGTTGTTGGCGCTATATTATTTCAGCTTTCTAATTTATGATTTCAATGCAAACGAGAGTTATAGTTATAGGTATAGTTAATTAATAATTTAAAAGTGATATAAGGCTCATTTGCCTGATGGGTTGCCAGGGATGGATGTCCCTTATTTAGTCTCTATTTCTTGTTATATACTCGATGTTTTCAGTTCAGTAGCAAGTATCATAGACAATCGAATTTTGATTCAGAACTAAAACAACCCTTTGCTGTGGTCTATAAAATTATAATTGACAGATTACAAGTACAGGAGTAGATATATATATATATATATATTAATCTAGTAGCTTAGATGCCACTACATTTTCCCAAGATTTTTCCACGCCTCCGCCGTCGATGAACTTGGCCGGCGTAAAATCGGCGTGGCGAATTTTAATGAAATATCAGCTTAATTATTTACTACATGTCATTCCAACACTTACGTTTTATTCGTACTAGATTTAAATTAAATCAGATCACATTTCTAGTTGCTACGTAAATAAAATAATTTAATTCCTTTCGCGTTAAGAATCGTGTAACTTATAAAAGCCATGTGATTGGTAATTACAATTTTCAACAGCGGTACACGTCACAATAAAGCGCTGTGATTGGTAGATATATATTTTCTACTGCAGTAACACGTCATAATAAAGCGTTGTCATTGGTTGATTGTAATCGCGAATGAATTAAAAATATTTAAATATTATTTTAGGGAGCGTTTAAAAATGGCAATGCAAGCCCAAGCTGCGGAAAATAAACTTCTTCGAGAAGCGAATCACAAACTAGCGACCGAGAAAGCGGTTCTCAAACTTATCATAACAGAACATATGAAGCGGTGTCCTGACGCGGAAGACCTGCGTAAGTATTAATTTGCGTTATTAACTAATGGCTTAAGAGCTAATGGCTTAAGTAGCAGTAGAGCTCCTCCTTGTGAAAGAATTCGCCCAGGAGAGTACTGTCACCTTACCTATTTCTGCCGCCTAGCAGTAATTACTGTGTTCCGGTTTTGAAGGGTAAGGGTGCTGGTGAAATTACAGGCACATAGGATTTGTCAACTTCGTTCTTTCTTTCTCCCTCTAGATCTTTTTTTCCTTATAATATTGTTCGAATATTGATCATGAGCTATAATTAGAAACATGCGTGTCAATAGATGGAATTGTGTTAATAATTAATTTATAAATAAATTTAACGCTTCCTAATACGCTTCCAAATAACAAAAATCTGTGGAATAAGCGCCATCTAGTTACAATAACTGCCTCCATGGCCGAACGGTTACCATGTCGGACTGACACGCAGAGGTCCCAAGGTCGGGAGAAATGTTTGTTTGTACCTACATTTATTTCTCTCGTGAGTTTGGGAGTAATTTGTGGTTGTCTATGTGTGTCCATGGCACTCGCGATACAGGGTCTCCCTAGTGCGGGGCTGCGAGTGTGTGCGTTATTATTATTATTATTAATATCTAGATGTTTGTTATCATTACAAATCAGAGCAGCTTTGATAAATTGCAGCACGTCAACGTAAAAAAATTAGTTACAAAAAAATAGCTATTTGGTTCTCGTGGCGACATCTGGTGTACAAATAGGTACTAAATACCAGGCTACGGTGTTCTGTATCGCGATTAGCAGTCCACTTGAGTCGTTGGTCCATGGTACTACTAACTTTTAAAAATAAAACAATGCTTCCATGAAACAAAATATTCTATTACTTTCCCTTCGTGCCCTATAATGTATGGGGCCCGAAGTACAGGGCGTGCCTGTGTACTAAAAACAGACGAATTATTGAATGGTGATGTAATGAGCTTAGGTCGGTATAAGGGTATTTTTTCCACATGTATACATACGTGTATAGACATAGCTACAAGCAGCGACATAGTGTTAAAACCACCAAATATTCTTAATTATTTTTTCGAATTCCGGATTCCCGGAAATGGTTTTACCGCATCGTAAGACAAGCTACTGATCTAGGAAGTCGAAGTTGGATTTTAAAATAATTCTAATGGTGCCATGTAAACAATGAAGTAGATAACTTGACCTTCTGACCGAAACAGAGAACAAAAGTTTTTTTTAAATTTTAATTATGAGGGTAATTATAGAACATTTTAGTTTGCATGAGAATCGTGATCGCGCTCTAAAAATATTTTATTTAAATTCAAAAACACAGTCTCGCACACAATCTGTTATACATACATGTTCATAAATTCGAACCACTAGCAGATTGTATTTTAAAAGGAAAATGTTCACACTAGATTATTTTAATACTTTTTGTTAAAAAAAGTGCTGAACGCTTAAACACGACCAAAAAGTGCCATTTTTGACAGCCTTACACATGTACGGCTACTTATTTCAAAAATAATAAATCCGGAAATCCAGGAATTCGAAAAAAGTAATTAATTGATATTTGGTACTTTTAATAACTCTATGTCGCTCCTTGTAGCTATATCTATACACGTGGAACACATTTTCCCGATCATTGGTGATTAGTGAGTGGTGTATATGAGCTATCTGAAAGTTTCATTTTTGATTGCCGAGTGCCAGTCAAAAACGCTAAAACTGCACAGGGCCTCTACCATAAGATTACAGGGACAGCGGTCGCTAGCGTAAAATACGTAAACTATTTGTATACAAAACATTCTCTTGTGACCGGTAGGGGCGCTGTACAATTTGCCTTACAAAATTGTGAAGTAATGTACGCAGCCGCTAGCGACAACTGTCGCAGTAAACTCGCGGTACAGGCTCAGTATTGTGCTAATATAATATCATATGTATACGCTTCTATAATAAGATTGCGGTTGATATTCGAAATTTGCCATTGACGAGGTTTAAAAGCTAAACAAAAACTTTAAGAGGTCAAATTTGACACTTGTCATCGTGACGCGAACAGGGATGAGGACTAATCATATCGCTAATCACATTATACGATTTTTACGAGAAATCGATTCAAAATTTTAATAGTTTGTGATTGTTTAGATTAATTAATTGTTTAGTTTTCGGTTCAGTGTTCTTCAGGGGGCCTAAAAGCAATTCTGTTAAAAGCAATTCATTTACAGAATTCCTTGCAATTCTGTTGCAATTCCTCTTATTTTCGTAAAATTGTCCCACATTCCGATAAATTGTATCCAATTCTTTTAATTTTGATTTTATAATATTCATAAATGGTTTATTACGAGAATTTGGTGTAAGTAAGTATATTCATCGATAAAACAACTACATATAAAGATTAAATTACTAAGAAACTAAGGATTTCATAAATTTTCAATTATTTGGCTGGCAATAAGTTAGAAGTTGTCAATGTCAACTACAAACAATCTCAAATAAAGTTCATAATTTTTTTCTAATATTAAAAAAAAAAAATTTCCGAGAAATCGAAGTGACTCGGTGAAATTCGGCGATTAATTGCTTACAACAATATTATTAAAAAAAATAGGTTTAGGACATAACTGTTTTCAGGACGTTCCGGGGTAACTCAAAATTGCATTTTATTTTCGAATTCGTGCGAAAACAGTACTTCAAATATGTTTTGTCATGTTATATAATGTTTGAATAAAATTTATGTATTTTTTTAAAACTCAATTATACTAATAATTGTTTCGTTGACTGCATTCAAAGTTACTATCGCCTTCATCAGCGGTCAAATTTGGCCTCTTATTTGGTGACGACTATAAAGCCTCTGCGACCTTGGATGACAAAAATCCGTGGTAGTGACCCGTTTAGCTTAATTTGCAGGTTATCTCGAACTTTTTGTGAAATAATTTTAAATGTATACAAATGTTTTCATTACAAAGACAAAGTTTCTTGATTATTCTTCTCAGGGGAATCTGCCTCACGCAATTTGCTAATTAAAATTTAAAATTTAAATTAATAATAAAAATTATGAAATAAAGATTATTTCAAGTTTATTCTATTGAGTTCTTGAATGAGAATCGGTTTATTCTAAAGTTTAGTAAGCGCCATCTTTTGAGCAGTGTGAGAACAAAAAAGCTGTCCTGTTTTCGACGACCTCGGTGACCCATTCGTTTGCGCTGTGGCGCTGGGTGGTGAATAGGTCCTGGGTTCGATTTCTGGTAGGACAACTTTACTAATTTGGTTCTGGTCTGGTGTTCCAGGTTGTGTCCCGGAGTGAATTCCGTTGTTCTGGTACTCATAGTACACAGGGAATGCCCTAGTTTGTGACCAGGTAATTGTTATTTCGCAATCTGACCGTGTGCAAGTGAGACTAAAGCCTTTCTTAGTATCTAATTACACAATGCCAATGGAATGACGTAATCGCTGAAACCTTGTACAAACAACAAACCCATATTTTTGTCGTTCACAGCAATTCCAGTTATTAATTATTTATCTATGAAGTAATTGACAGTTTTATGCATTTTTCACAGGGCTATTGACACAGGGTAAACTGCAAGTTATGGAAGATTCATAAGATACCTAACGGAACCAAGTCAAGACGTGGGAAATACATTTATATTGCATTATTTACTTTAGAAGTAAATAGAAGGTTTACTGGCAAGATTTATTTGACCGCGACCATTGCGGAATTTAAAAAAAACTAATTTTGCTGACAACACGAAAAAACCATAGCTCAAAACGTCGACGCTGCCAGAGCGTAAAAACTATTAAAATATACCTGTGCCGCCATTTTAGGGTCTAATGTTACTTGTTAATTTTTGTAATTTTCCATTAATGGACTACGCATAATCTATAAATAGCAATATATTAATTTATTTCAAAACTAAGACTGATTATTTGTTTTAATTATTCTTATTAATAAATGTTAAAATTTATTTGTTTTTTTTTACTAATACGGTTCTACAACCCGTCATCGTCGGGGGAGTGTGTCCATATGCCTCCTGTGTCACTTTGGGGCCAACTTAAACCGGCGGACTGGAAGACAGATAACATTCAATTTATCAATGTATACAGTGTATTTAGGAAATGAGACTATTTTTCCGGATTTAAATCGCGTATATTTGTTTTTTCAAATAAACCGACGTTTCGGGCCCTTTACAGGTCCCATGGTCACGGTTGACTGAGGTGGTACAGTCTTCTACCAGTTATGTCTAATATTAATGCAAACCACCCTATTGCTTCACTATAGTTACAATAGTTATTAATTAAATACTTTATTTTTAATTTTACAAAAAAAAACCTTCCAATTTACACTGCATTAACTTTTACAAATTATTTTTTAAGTTCAATTTATTATTAATTAATAATAGAAATTAGAATAAACTAAAACATATTAGTTAGTACTGCAGTCTTATGTCTGTTTGGGATTTTTCATCAGAGGAAATACTGGATCCCAAACTGGTGGTACGGAGAAAACTATTGAAAACTATTCTGCCAAATCATTACTGTGACAACTGCGTTCCGATTGGCCAGCCCGAATTCGAAACAATTGACGGGTGTCGTCAATTGTTTTTTTATTTGAACTGATTCAAATCGACCAGTTTAAGTCGAGCCTTGGTATAATGGACGAAAACTGCAAAATTACGTATTTAATTACTGATGAAATGTGATTCCGTTTGTTTTATAATTAGATGTTTTGCAGTTTTTTCCACACCACCGAATGGAACAGCCTTATTTGTTAGAGATATTATCTTTATAACAATAAATACAGAATATTTTTGGAATATACGGAGACGTACACACAGGTAAGTTGTTGGCGCTGTACTATTTCAGTTTTCTAATGTGTGATTTCAGCGCAAACGAGAGTTGATACCTATTTAAATAAAAGTGATATAAGGCCGGGTACTCACTAGCGAGCTGTAACATGCATATACAGTAACGAGGTTCTAGTGTGTACTCTTGAAACAGTTTTCACGTCATTTACCTTATGTGTTGCCAAGGATGGATGGCCCTAACTCGTCTCTATTTCTGGTTATATACTCGATGTTGATGGTAAATTTGTTTTGTAAAAAGTGATGGAACAAAAGTTGTTGTTTATGATATTAGTAATAGGCCGTTACTATTTTTCAAATAACCCACACAACATGCCTATTTCCTATACATAGATTTAGTATTATGAGTACAAACTATTCTCTAGAAATCATTGACTTTATATGGACGTCGGGTCCGCGCTAAAAGGTGTCCGCACTTGTAAGGCGCTAAAATCGTATACAGAGCGCCAAACTCCGCTTTAGTCTTCATTTGTTCGACTGACAGCGCGATACTGCGATGACATTACAATTTAAATTTCGAAAAGGTTGACTTGGGACATTTTTTCGTGGTTTTTGTATTAGACCCGTCGTCCATTTATTTGTAAGTCAATGCTAGAAATATATTTATTTATACGTCTATACTATAATTTTGATTAGACTTTAAAGGCACTTGACTATTTGTGTCGCATTTTTGTAGACTACTTTATGCCAACGTCAATAAGGGAGACCTAGGTTACATCTTTTTTTCGTGTGCCCGATTTAACAGTCCCTTCTTAATCGAGCAACTAATATCTTCACGTGTTCCTTTACCTACCCATTTATCATGCTTCCTTTGAATAAAAGGAGTCTGTGTGAATGAGTAAGTAAAAGTTGTCTAGTCTTTACGACGCGGACGCTAGTGACACATCTGCCTTTTTTTAACTATAATAAGAACAAGATTTAGGAAATGAAACTATTTTTCCGGATTTAAATCGCGTATATTTGTTTTTTTCAAACAAACCGACGTTTCGGGCCCTTTACAGGTCCCATTGTCACGGTTGATGTTAACCGATGAAATCAGACAAGATCGGAAGAGTCCTCAGGCGTGCATCTACCAAGACCTATTTCAAAACCCTGTGAAATGTAACATCCCATTACAGGATGCAGGAGTTTACAAGTTTGACTGTGAGTGCGGTCTCTCTTATATTGGACAAACGAAGCGAA